TTTTTAGTATTTAAGTGCCCGGGGAGGGGGGGTTAGGGTGGCAAGAATTAATACTCCCTTCTGCTACTGAACCCATCTTCAATCAAGCCCACTTCAGATAATGTCCAGAGACAAACAAGATCCATCTTCCACTTCATTTCATGCTTGTGCAACAGGACACTACTCGAAAGTGCCAAATATCTACTTTACGTTAAAAAAAAAAGGGAAAAAAAAGCCAAAACAAGACTCAGAATGTAACTCATGTTGCGAACAATTGCATGCAATCAGTTTTCATCCTCGTGTGGTGCCGAACAACGGCAATGTGTAAATAATCAATGTGACATTTCTGACACATACACAAAGGGATAACAAACAGGAAATGGAAACCATCTGTTTAGGAAAAATCGTTGCCATTGGTTGGACAGACAGGGTTAGAATCAGCTCCCTCGCAAACGATATTGATTTAAGTCAATTTAGCTGTTTGAACTATGTACTATGATTTCAAGTGGCTGCTGATGTTTGTCTCAAAATTCTCAGCAAACTGTCAAAAAAGTAGGTATAAAAATGGGCATTTTAATAAACTGTTCAATGCAAGACAAAATGCAATCTTGGAACTACACAGCACTCCAATGAAAGCCAAAGTCTTAGACAACTGACCAACTTCAGATGCGGCCTTGCTCCGGAGGACTTTCCACTTATATGTACATCAACTCTCACCAACCCAGGACTGTCACCTCCACTGTCTAGCTGTGTTGCCGTCTCATGCAGACAATGCCAACATTTGCAAATCCTGTGAGCATTCCTCGTGGCAATGTCTGAAAGTCATGGCAACTTAGCAACGTCTGAATGAGAGGAGCAGACTTGAAATTTGTCCATTATGCAGGGTGGAGTTTAGCTTCAACTGCGGGGCTCACGTCCCCAGTCTTGCTCCCTGCTCCTACCATAGTCTCTCCACTGTCCATGGCGGTGGCACCACCCTCGCGGCCCTCACTGGCCGCTTTGGACAAACTTCCCTTGGTTTCCGTTTCGATCATGGCAGAAGCTTCCGTTACGGGTTCAGTGCGTGAGGTGTTCAGCGGGGCTAGTTCTTGTGAAGTTGCTTCATTGCCTGGTTTAATTTCTTCATATCCTTTAAGTGACGGACGAATATAAAAACGCCTGGCAAAATGAATGACAACGGCAGAAAAAGTTTGTTGCAGCTAACTCTATTTCTTCCAGCTTACTTCCACATTTTTATTCAACTGTGATATCCAAGCCATGCTTTTTTATGATCACGTATTAACCAAATGCTCTCTAAGCATGAACAATGGCTATAAAAAATATGGGACCTGCCATCCCAAAAGCAGGCTGAAGTAGGTAACTTCATAACCCTAAAATAGTGGAACTCCACTGTTCAGATTTTCATGGGAGTTTTACAGCTATTACGACCCGTAAGAAGCTCACTGCAGACAGAATTACGTTTTGACATGGATCATGGATCAGTAACGCAGCAACAGGTGCATTTGTAAGCCTCTGGAAATGAGCCTGTCATTATTCTAATAAAAGCAAACTTAGATCATGGACATCCAGACATTAGTAAAAACACAAAACAGGATTTGTGCAAATGAAATACATGTTACAGTGTGTATGTTGATAATTTTCCCATAATGCAAAGCAAGTACAGGTCTTTCTGTGGTAACTCTCTTGGATTCTATTCTATATACTGTATTATTAGACTATTTTTGTAGCATACACAAGTTACACATTAGTATTAAATACTATGAGTGAATTATGCAGGGATATCGACATAAATCCATGGTGCGATCTCGTACTTTCAATGTAAAGCCGACAGGGTTTTCACGGGGGAGTTTAAGCATGGAAATGGAATGCTCAAGTCACAAAGCAACAAAATGCAAAACAAGCAAGACATACGGTATGGATGCGCTTGATTGTTGAAGAGAATGAAGAAACAGGAAACTGCATTTTGCTCTGAAGAAGCACGCCGCCAATGAACATAATTAACCCTAACACTCCTCAGTCCTCCAACAGGTGAAGGATTGAGGAGTGTTAGGGTTAACATTAATACTAGGTAGAATGAAAACGGTATGAGCAACATACAAATGTTATATATCAATTTATAATAATTTAGAACACGGAACTTGATACTCAGAAAATAACTGCACGTGAATCTAACGTGCAGTAACTCGGCATCTTCTGTTTTTATGTACACAGGAACATTTCACTGAATGTATACACAGCAGTGTGGGGCGAGGCCATAGACGTATCATATGCCTCGGTTTCCACCGTGAATAATTATGATGTTTATGTGCTTGTGTTGGCTGTTGTACTCTCAAATGTCAGTGTGGGCGAAAGAACATGCAAATGCCAACCACGTGCAGTGAAGCCTTCAATTTGGAATTAACAAGTGTGGCGAGATTCTGTTCCAGCACTGTGAATACTCAATACACAGATGCAATTAGACTACATGTATGTGAAGTTAAGAAAACGGAGGATTTTAGGGCAAGAAATAGGGTTAGAATGGGGGTAGACTGATGGGTGGGGGGAGGGGCTCAGGATTGAAGTTAAGGTTACATTTATACCTGTAAATCATAATACAGAGGTTCCAGTGTCTGAATTGTACATGAACATATGAATACATATGCTGATAGAAAAAGGATACACCTCTAGTTTACAAAGGGACAGGCTACGTTGCCTTTTTGTGAAGATAATGGTACTTAGGATCTTTAATTAGAAATAAAACCACCTCAATGTGCCTGCTGATACGTACTGTCTGACTCGGCTGTTAATTTTCACCTGGGGCTTCATTTCCTCATCATTTTATGGTGGGTTTTCTTTTGTTGTTTTGGAGGTTTAAAGTGTGACTAAGCTAAATTATTCACTGTATCTTGCCAGATTTGGGAAGCCCCCCCCCCAAAAAAAGAGAATTGGTTGAAGAGGTTAGGTTTAAAGAGAATATTCATAGAAAAATAATGGTTTTTATTAAAATTGGTTCTTTTTCTTCCTTAAAAAAAAAATGTTTTGTTCAGACCAGTCTTATAGCCAGCCATATATTGGTGCAGGACAATTTAAGTAATGGCGAACAGAGGGTAGCGAAACGATTGCAGTCTCGCAAATCACAGCCCGGGGTCCAGGGGCCCACCTTAGGGGACTCTAGATCACTTTTTCCAAATTGCTTAAGAGTTCACATTTTAATTCTTTCAGGTAAAACATGAAATTTTCATAGTGACTGATGTTATTGCAGGGATTTTAAAGAAATTTTGTGCCGGTCAGGGGGCTGTTTCATCAATCTTAGTGCTGGACGGTAGACTGCAATGGTGGAGATCCCTGACCGGCGCCGACAGGCATAGCTATAACACTGGTACAGACGCTCAATTACCTCGCCCTCTTTTTAAAACCAACTGATGCTCTTTTCACATACTGCTGACAAGATTCAGCTGCACACTTGGTGTCAGATACTAAAGAAAAATAAATTGGTTCTACATTTTGTACGTTCCACAGTGGCCTGTAATTACATATATATATATATAGCACTGCCCGATTCACACGTATTTTGTAATTTAAGTACTTTTAATCTCACATCTTCGCAGACATACTGGTACATATTATTCTGAATGGTCAGGTGATGTCAGTACCTGCTGGCACTGTTTGCTGACAAGCGTAGAAAACTTCTAGGAACTAAAATTGTCTACTTGTGCTCGAACTGTTTTGTAGAATGTGCTTGAATACCATTGAAGGAACCTTGTGGGAACCGCAAGTACACAGAGATACTACCAGAGCCTAGGCATTATGTTTGCACAGGGATTACACACTGGAACAGAAGTAGCGGCTGCCCCTGCTTAAGAGTCAGAGTCTCCTTTACATTGCCACTGTGAAAACTGGAAGCGTGGTCAGAAGTTGCCAGTTCAACCTCTTTCCCTATTTCATTTCAAATGTGTGTGAGGCACCCACAGTGGTCATTAGTTTGCAGGCACAGACAGCGTGATCCCCGATAGTGCAAAAGTGTGACGGTGTGCCCAAAATCAGGCCAGTGCAGGTAGAGCGTGAAAAAAGAGACAGCCGAAGCAGGCTGGTCTGAGACCCTCAACCAGAGCGTGGTAATGCACACCAAACTGCCGGTTGTGTTTGGTGGCTCGAGAAACTTTGATCCGGGAGGCAGTCCGGGACGCAGTCAAACTGCGACGGGTTTGGAGCCCTCACCGCGGGCTTGCAATTCGAGGCCTCCTGCTGAGGACGCGGGGGGCACACCATTATTTGGCAGTGGGGCCAGCGACGACGTGGAGGGCTGAGAATGGCTGGCCGGGTTGGCATTTGGATATGACTTGGCCCGACCCCGCTGCACAGTCCACCTAAGATACAGAAACGTGACAACAACAAAAAAAACCAAGGGGACAGGGGCGGGAGGAAGAAAAAAAAACAAGCCAGTGACAGCACGACCTACTGAGTATCCCAAGCACCAGCTTTGTAATGAAACCTTGTAATGCGGCAATGTTGCATCACTAACATTGCATTACTGCAAGTGGAATCATTCTGCATCTTTTGTGAAAGGCTTAAACGCACTCCGAGAGCCACGGAAGACCACCTGCTACTGATGCCCTCAAATCTGCTTGAAACTGGAATCAAATAGTAAATTTTGTGCACTGCATCAAAGCGCAGATTTGAAACACAACAGCAGAGTGAAAGAGAAGCCTTGAACACCCATTTGGGGGTTTCAGTTCTTTTGAAACCAATTTAGGCAGGTGCCGCCGTGAAGGGTTTTGCAAAGGGCTGCTAGGTAAATGTTTTGCAGAAGTTAAAATGTTAGCAATGTTAGTGACTTTTCCACACCACTTCGGCGTCAAAGAACGAAACAGCACCAGGCAAATGACAGAGTGTGCGGACATATCAGACACTGAGGAGGCGGAGCCAGGATACAGAAAATGGGTGTGGGGAGTAGCTAGTACCCACAATGAAGTCCTTGAGGGGGGTATGTGTGATTGAGAAGGGAATATCCCAACTTTAGGAGTGAGACCGAGATCAAGGAGTCCACTCAACTTGCATCAACTCCACATTTTGGAGTTCAAAACTTTTTGGGGAGGGGGGGTGGGGTGGTCTCCACTCTCCGTGCCTTATCTCAGCAAGTCTGGCTCTGCCCTTCCAATGAATGGCAGAAGATGATGATGGTTCAACAAAAGTAAACTGTCAGTCGACAGCAGAGCGGGGGTGTGTTTCATGTAATTCCCTCCCCCAGTGATCAATAAGCCATTTGTGAGTTAAATTTGAATAAAATCAGGTACACTGAATTACACAGAAACGTAACAATTTGAATTCCCCAGACTTAAGACACTATTGCTATACCTCGTGATTCGGGGCAAGCTGTTGCATAGCGACCACCATCTCTGGAATAAACTGGTTCCTTTGTGCCCTTCTTATCCATTAAGAACAGTGTATTGGTGCAAGGCATGTCTTATGTAACTAAGCAAACGCTTGCCCCGAATCGCCAGGTATAGCACCAGTGTTTTTAGTGTGAAGAAAAAAATCGTTATGTTCACAAGAATTTAAAGAACTCAGTGTGCCAGATTTTACTCAAATTGAACTCGCAAAAGGCTTATTCTCTCTAACCATTGTGTGCCTTATTCATTCATGACCATGCATGATCTCTAGAAGATCGGGCATGTACATGCGTCATGCATGGGCAAGCATCCACATGCACTCATGCTAGGATGCTAATACGGAAAACCCTACAAAATGTAAACAATAAGATTGCGTTTGTATCTTTCTAAGGGGTGGTTCTTTAGCCTGAACTTTCAGGAAAAAATGCCTCTCAGCTTTAGTCAAATATCAAACATCTAGATGAGGAATAATTTCTCAAGTTCCAAAAAAAAAAACCATATAAAATTTGTCCCAGACTAAATTTCACAGAGCTAGTCTCATGGCAGAAAATGCTGATTTGTGGGGAAAACGAAAGGAAAAAAGCGTGGTGTGCCGAGGAAGGGGCACTGACTACTTACGTCGCATGGTGTGAACTGATCACGCAATACATGTACACAAATGTTTGGGGGAATGATTTTGGGCCAAAGCATGTGAATCAGCATTACCCCGCGACAACTCTGAGACAATCACTGATATTCAAGAACTGTGCAGCACTTACACGGCGAAGAAAACTCCAGCTGATACGGGAATAATAAGCAACACAAACAGCACATAGCAGGTTTCTTCTAGGCCAGGAACGTCACCTGTTAAAATGAAAAAACATTCCACTAGTATTTTCATAGTATCATTCAACAAAAAAGGGAAAACGTGGAAACATTCAACAGGGGACTAATTCTGTGACAGACTGACACTTTGGAAAGGATTTTTACATATATCTGGAAGTGGTATGTTAAATCCTGAACTCTAGTGCTGTTTCTTCATTGGAAGTGTACCTCTATCAGAGCCTTCCTTTAAACTTTCGTCTTTGTGCAAGATCAAGTAAAGCTTTGTGTTATCACGAGAGCACACTGACACGTTAACAACCCCCCTTTTGGGGTAAAATGCGAGGGTGGGAATTTACGTTTGATTTGAAAAATGTTTAGAAAACTATCCCGTACTGTTTAAACGAGTAAACGTTCCACCCTTACCACGGTGTCACTAAAAACTTTTAACGCAACAAATTGTATACAATGCAAAGAGTTGACACAAAATTCCCGTGATGAATTCATGGTATTCCTTTGATAATGACAGAGCAGTAAAGTGTCCTGAAAATCAAACTACATTTTGCAAGCATCGTTTAATATGAAAAATGAACGCCAGATTGCATCAATAAAAACGTCCAACCTCTAAACGGGGCGGTTCCGTCTAAATGGTGGCGAAAAACTGTAAACGGATTTCAAACTTTTTTTCGTTTAAACGTGTACACGTCCCATCCTTAGTAAAATGTGGAATGAAAAACTCACGGAAGTTGGCAAATAGAAAGTAATCAAACAAACTGTATTAGGCCTTGTTACGTGTACGTATCACAGTTGGTTGTTTTCACACATCACTACTTTCACACCAGTGCAAGGCATGATCATTTCCTTTTCTTTTGAAAGTAAAATTTGAAACCCAGGATGACATGTGCATATAATTTTCCACAGGCCCTGTTTATCCACTTTCGTGTCCCACATGGCGACAAGTAAAAAACACTGTACTCCAGCATCACAGTATTTTTCCATGTAAGATGCCATGTTTTGATTGTCGATCAACAGGAAGCCAAATGGGAAGTCAGGAGACCAAACGACCATGGACTTTTATTTACACTGCATGAGAACACCTATTGCCAGTTACGCAATCTCTTTTATTGAAAGTACATTACATATAGAAGTGTATGTAAGCTATCGGAAAGCATTCATTATGCCAATGTTTGATTTTTTTCCCCCCAGGATTATTTGAATCAGCAGAGATAGTTGTTGGTGATAGAATGGACCAACTAAACTTCTGCTTATTGTTTTAATTAATATTCACCAATTTTTAGGCAAGTAACTTTACCAAATATTGGTTTATAGTCGTTTTATCTGAAACTCTTCAACTTTTATTGAAAATTGTCTGAAAATCTCAGAGGCGGATTCAAAGTGAGAGCCACACCCATCCCTCCCACCCATTCTAAAATCTTTTTTCAGGTCAGAGAGATAGAAGCCTTTACCTCTTTTAAAACCTACGGAGGAATGGAAGGGAGGAAAATGATATATATGCAGAATGTACGTACAATTCTTGAAGATATCTGCAAGTTTAGGCAACTCAGGAAAGTCTTCCATATCACAGGCAACACGACTGCAGGCATCCGGCAGTCCTCCAAGTCTGCAGTAATTGTGCAGTGCCATAGTGCTCCTTCTGTTGTTAGTCAACAACCAGCTTTTGTTTGATGACAGAGGCGCAGGCCCAAGCGATGTGATACGATTTAAATCAAGGCCGACCCCATGATCTGTCCTTTCACGCCAGTGTCTTTCACTTGCTACCACAGTCGCGACAGGGAGTAAATGAAATGCGACACCGTTTCACTCCAAACGTGAGGTATCGCTCCCCCTGGTTCACCATCCCTGTGAATCACTACAACAGGCACACAGAGAAGAAAGCAAGTTTAGGAGCTAAGGAACAAAATTTCCCACTCAACTTGTTTGTAGGATGACAAGCATGACAACTCCGTGGACGTGATCTCACACTTCACCCCTTGCCAAACAATCTTCCACAGCCGAAATCAAAACCAAAAACACAGAGAACAGAAGCTCAGCGACGTCAAATAACCACACGGATCCACTGACCGCACTCAAAATTCACCTAGCATGACACTAGTTATGCTTGTTCTATGTGCGCTGTTAGGCATGAGTTGAGAGAACAGTATCACTGCTGTAAGTACAATCAGGAAGTTTCCACCGGCTCCCTGTTTACATTGATCTAAGCCGAGTCCTCACGGAAAGCAGGATATGCCAAACAAGTAATGCAAGGCCAGAAACTGTTTGCTAATCCCAGTATCAGTTTTAATGTCATTTGGCTCTTCCCTGATTTCATTTTTTTTTCAATGTACATGAACATTATAATTTTTCACTTAATTCTCTAGTCTTCAGTACAATTTCCTAAAAATATATTAAAACAATTCCCCCAAACCAAAGTTAGGTGGATAGGCCCAACTACACATATGTACTGGACACAGTTGGGGCAGTGGCTAAAGATGGGACATAACAGAGCCACGGTTGAATACATATCTACTTATTCTTATTTATTCCTTTCAGGTTAAAAAGACTCCATTACAGAGATTTGAAAATTTACTAACAACTGTAATGTAGGCTTACGTACTTCTTTTTGACTGAAAATTTCATATTCATTCACTCTAAAGTCTAAGAAATAAAGGTTCACATTTGCACCCCTATTGATACAATACTCAATAGCAGCACCCACAGTAAATGGTGCAAACTTGCACCCCAGTTTGGGTGTGTGAACCCCTACTTGGCCGTACGCGCACCTACAGGGGAACACACACCATATCCTGGGGATAAATTCGCACCTAGGGGTACAACTTTTAACCTTTCTTTTTTAAGAGTGTTCAGTTAAATTCCGGCACAAGTACCTTCAGAAAGCATGCTGGTGAACTTTTACAAATAATTGAAATGCCATGAAATTTGGTCCGAAATTCAAAAACAGTGCCATCTGGAAATTGGACACAAATTTAGCTGAGTATTCCCAAGCACGCCAAACGTGAACAAATCTCTGAATACCTCACATTAACATTAAGTAAGTTCGAACGAATAATGACATGGGCCAAGCGCTCATCCGCGATTTCTCTGGAAAACCGGAATAACTTACCTGAAATTTCGTGAGATACTACAATTTTGTCAAAAAATGGTGAAGGGCAGCATATCGTGAGCGCGCCCTCAAGGATCACGTGGTTGATCACGAAGGGTGTGGCTAGTAGGATGAGGTAGGCAAACTCCAATTTGCCCCAGTATGTACGTAGTTAGGGTACGTTGCAGACTTGGACCGCGGCCACAGTGGCGTAGGTAGGATTTTACTGGGGGGGGGGGACAAAGGTGTCTCAGCATCTTATGGGGGGGGGCACCAGCTTTCAGTGGTGCTTTTTTGGGGTGGGGCGCAAGCTTTTGTTAGCCTTGTTCAATATCCATTCATCCATTATTTTAGTGGGCAGGGGGGAGGCACCGGGAATTTGTGGGGGCACATGCCACCCCAGCCCCCGTTGCTACGCCACTGCTTGGCCATGGTGGCAGGTAAATGTTTTCAAATCTTAAACATTAAAAAAAATCTCAAATTTAAGATAAATTGCAAACTAAAAGTAAGGTAAAATTCTTCGTAGGAATTAGCAATTCGGGAAAAAATCTACCCTGTCCCCAGGCTAGGCTACAGACTAATATTGGAAGGTATTTGTGAGTAAATTGTCCATTATTTGCAACGTATGTAGCGTCGGTGGCATGACAAATACTGTAAACTGATGTATCTTTCGTCATACAACTTTTGTCGTGCCATTCGGGACCCTATAAGTTAAAGTATTAAGGACTAAACAAAAAAGAAAGTATCCTCTCCAAAAGTTAACTCCTGGGAAGTCCGTGAAAAAAAAAAGCTTCATGAAAGGGTTTGTGATAGGTTGGAGGCAGGGATCCACTTCAAACAGTTTCAAATTCACGAATACACAATGAATTTACGTTCGCGTTATTGTGTGAAAAGCAAAAATAAAACACTCTTTTAGGAAAATTAGTGCTAAGACTACCAATCGCAATTTGTGGAAACCTCTCCGAGAAGCGAGACTTAAAGGGGGGCTTAATCAGCGTGCAGTGGGTAAGGAAGCCACAAAACCATCCTCTCATTCCATAAAAAAATGTTTTTGCGTAACTTCATCCCATTTTGGGTCGAGTTTTACCCAATAAAAGTACGCAAGAAAATGTCAATTTTGTGAATTTTTAATTTATGCGTCCAAATCGGTCGGTCTGGGTTGAAAATATCCAGACAAAAGACTTGAAAAAGAGACGTTTGAAAAAGTGCCGGATTGCGCCAGTGGATCTTGGGTGTTCAAACCGAGTACCTCTGCTGGTAGAAATATCGCTATGACGAAGTATCCACTTAGCCATTAGCCGACACGGTAGGCCGGGATGGATCCTACAGTATATATAACAATGATGTCGAAATCAAGTTATTGCGGGACTGAGAAATTGTAATGTTTTGTGCAATTCGCGAACCGGCAGTACGCAAGTAAAGGCGGAAGGTACCCAACTGGGAATGCCGTGTTTGCCGTTTTGGGCGGGGCTGTCATAACAGGCGTGTGGGGTGGCAATGCGGACACCCTGCATACAGGAGACGGAGTCTGAGGCAATGCTTATAAACACGATCACATTTCTTTACATAGATTATCAGGACATTAATCGGCACTTCCTCGCGCTCTGTATTACCGCGAAACCAGTTTCGAAAATTGTTATACAAGTAACACTGAACCCCCTCCATTAACGTGGCTTCCCCTTTCAGTGTTATAGTTTAAGCCCACTCTACACAAAAGCGACATTTTTGGGGATTTGCAGAAATCCCTATTCATTGATCTTATGTTTTGTGATAAGATTAAAAGTTTGGAATAAAATTTTATTTTACACAGTTCCCTGATTTATTTGGAAGACCCCCTAAAGGGCCCAAAGAGCATAACCCATGGAGTCTTGTTTTGTGAAAACCAATAACAAACACACTCTATGCAATTTGGCGTACAAAGACGATCAAAGGAATTTCACAAAAAAACATCTTTCTCTCACTATTTAAAAATGTCTTTGGGTTATTTCATTCATTTGCGAGGATATTACTAAATGAATGCATAACAAGAAAAATTTCTATTGTGTCGGTGAATTTTTAATTTATGCGTGCAAATTGGACCATCTGGGTTAAAAATATCCAGGCAAGAAACTTGTAAAAGAGGCCCTTGACAAAAGTGCAGGATCGCAGCAGTGGATATTGGTGATCCAACCGAGTGCCCCTGCTGGTAGAAATGTCGCTAGTATGAAAAAGTATCACTCGTTTATTTGCCGACACGGGTAAGTCAGGGCGATTCCATGGTTTCGAATCGAAGTGCACCCTCACCGGCGAAAGAAAAACAGACTAGCACGAATACGGGCGTTTCACAATAGTGCGCCGCCAAGAGATTGCAACGCGTTGACCAATCACAACAACAAAAAAACCCAAAAACTAAAAATCACGTTCAACCTGAGCAGGAGAGCTCGGAGGTAGTTGGAACCAGTTTGTTAAACGAGGGATTCAAAATTATCAAGGTTTTACACCTATATTTATGATAGACATTTCAAAGAAGATAAAGGTATCCCTTGACCACTCAAAACACTTTTGCAAAATGAGATCATTTGCAATCATTCTGAAAATGGGTTACATATTAAGTTGTATCTTTTTATTACAATAAATCTGACAAAACGTTTCTGTAAACATTAAATTCCTGATTGGCACACCCACTTCAGTAGAGCCCGATTGCGAATGGAAATCGGTCTCATTCGGGCAGCTTTGTGAACAATCCGGGTATGAAACAGAGTCTCTGGTTGGATTGTCTTGGCATGAGTCATGGCTTCTCCATGAAACTGCGTCTTTGATTGGCTGCCAACCAGTCGCGGGTTTTTAGCCCGTGCGCTGTTTTATCAACTGCAGTGTGTTATCGTGTAAACTGTATTATGGATGGAATGTGTACAACGTATGCAGTACCAGTGGAATGTCAATGAACAGTCAACAATGCACAGTACGTAAGAACAGATTCTGCATCATGCATGTGCGACAATTTTGTTGTGACGGTCAGGACTTTATAATGTGATACGTTTGGAGTATATCTGATCTGCTTCTAATGAAACTGTTCTGCTACCTCCATTGCCCATATCTGGTAGTTTTAGTCACTTGTGAGACGACTGTAATCGGAATTTAAGCTGGTTTGAGGTTGCTGTGCGGAGAGAAGAAACCAGTGGGTAAGCTAAGCATGGACCCTCGTATTGAGTGGTAATGGTGATGTTGATCGGGCTTGGTGTGCATGTGCACAGTGTAGTACGGTGTAGGGCCTAGTCCCACTACATGAAAGGCTTAAGTAACATTATTACCTCCATACCATGATTAACGTGCGTGACCTTATACTGTTATAGCCGCCAGGTCCATTATTTCGCCACTTACTGTGAAAACCAATGAGACTTGACAATAGGTGGTGACATGTCGAGTGTGGTGTGGGGCAGGTACTGAGGTAGTAACCAATGAAAATCGCAAGCGTGGTGATGTATGCGTGCACCATCCAGTCAGACGATCGGATTACACAATCATTTCTTTGATCAGTATGTACGCGCGTGTTCATTGCAGTTGTTTTCATCGGTTGCTACCTGCCATTTCGCAAAACTCCCAGATGTCCGTGCCACCCCATACGGTCACGCATGATACAGGCTAGCCTTACTTTGGTATACAGGCAGGTGTTCGTTTCGAGAAAGTTTGTTTACTTTAGTGACTGGAATCCCAAAATTGTTTGCAAAATAATTTGGCTCCCTTATGACCAAGAAGAGAAAATCTTCGCCGTTGCTTGAATGCTGGTCAACTTGTATACATGCCGACTCGTATGCTGCCCAACTCGTACATTGATAAACTTGTACACCCAGTGACTCGTACCGTGCACCAGCAATGCACGTGATGTTGTGTGCCATTATCGCTGCCCTTGCCCTGTCTATCATATGTTGGATTTGATGCCCCTGTGCACAAACCTGTGAGACTTGTCTGAAAAAGTGTTTTCAAAGTAAATGCTTTGGGATTTTTTTTGCTAAATTTCATATTTTAGGACATGTCACTTTCTGTAATAACTTTTTAAGGGAAAATTGATATTTTCCATTGTGGAACCCTTTCCCTTTTCTTGACTATCGTGTTTATGAAGTTTATAACAGTTGTCAAGAGACATTTGGTGCGATCACTGGCTGTGGATTCAAGGGGACGGGGCTTGTGCCCCCCTCCCCTTTTTGGCAGGTCCTATAAATAGAGAGGGGCTTAATGGATCGGTGTGTTAATGGTTGATGCTTGATGGTCTCACAATTATGACCCCCCACTTTGAAAATCTTCTGCCACTGCTGGGTATGATCCTTTGAAGATGGAGTAAAATTTTAAAGAAATTTAAAAAAGGAAGAAGGTCTATTAGTTTTAACATGTTTAAAGAGGAATGAAGGCAGGGGGTATAATTTTTTTAAAGAAATTTTAAAAAGGAAGGGGGGTCTTTTACCTAATGGGAACAGCGTGAACGGGCTTGAAAGTTGGACAGACTTGGCGGTGGATATGACATGCAGAAATTGGTCTAATGATAGGCCTGTGGAATTCTTTCCGCCATGGTAATTAAGGTTTTTAGACAGTGGACAGCAGATTTGCATTGTTTTTGTTATTTAATTTGAATTCAGGGTTACAGAATTCTGTTGGTTAACTCAGTGAGCGCCACAATGGGCCAACTGAATGAAGTCAACCAATTAGAGCAGTAGAAACAAGCATTGATATGGAGGCTTTGCATGGTAGCTGCCTTGCAGGGCAATTGTTTTTTTCCTCAGGGAAACCTTCTTTGTGCAAACCCAGTGGTGCAAAAGCACTGGCCCACAAGATGGCAGCCATGTAAACCCTCTATATCTTAGTTGCAGTGCCACCCCATGGTTCTCTCAGTGCTGCCCAAAGTGGTGAGAGCTGTGTTTTGTAGGCTTAAATGCCGAATGCTGTTGTTCAAGGGACGATCTGCACTGTGTACTGTATGCTGGCACGCAGAATGTACACTCTGTACAGTGACTTGTATTGCTTTCTGCAGATGGAGTCAGCGGTCTTGTTGCGCTGATCTGGCCTCGGTCTCTAGTGTGTTGTCACACGTGAGCACCCTAGTATTTGAAAATGTGTCGTAGTACAAGTACAGTGTATCTTGTTAGACAGTTTTAGGACTTTTTTGAGGTGAAATCCGAGGATTTTTTATTCATGTTATGAGCTTGTTTGAGTGAAATCAGTTAGTGATACACAAGGCCCATGGAAGATTCTAGTACTCCACTATCGTTGATGGTGTCCAATTGTTAAATGACATGATTCATAGAATCCTAGTTACGTGGAGAAGGACGTAACATCAGTGCAATGGTGTTGACTTCTTTAATGGCAGGTGTAGCTCCGATGAGCCTGGTCAACGCAGCCATCATGGCAAGCAGTGCCCCCACGTCAGCCGACGCTTGCCTAAGCATCGTCCACAGTCTGATGTGCCACCGGCAGGGTGGGGAGTCGGAGAGCTTCGGCAAGCGGGCCATCGAGAGCCTGGTCAAGAAGCTGAAGGAGAAGCGGGACGAGTTGGACAGCCTCATCACGGCCATCACGACCAACGGCGCCCATCCGAGCAAATGTGTCACTATCCAGAGAACCTTGGATGGGCGATTACAGGTAAATATTACGTCATAGACATACATGTGTAACTTGACACAGTTGAAAAAGAAACTAATTTGGGGCTTGAAATTTGGCTTCACTCGACGGTAACAAGTGCCCGTTTCTAACACTGCTGATATTTGCAGTCTAGGGGAGTAAGGTGCCCCAATCAAAGTCCTGAACTGACTGAACTCTATCCGCCTTGAACTCTATCTGCCTTATCCGTTGAAAGAGCCATGTTGATCGAGAGTGTTCTTTTTTGTTGGTAGCTCTGCGAACCGCAACTCAAGTATTTTGTAGTTGTTTGTGAACCAGCGAAGTGCAGTTCCTACCGGAGGAGCCTCCGTTGCTAGGAAAATTGCGCCCTCTCCTGGTCGCGCTCGGGGCTTATTAACTTATTGACCAGCTATTGAAATAATTTCCTGGAGGGATCTAACTTTGCCAGGTCTTTATCTCGAAATCTGAGTTTGGTTCAGAGTGCCTATTGGGTATGAGTTTTCACAATAAATTGAGGCAGGATTTTTCATCAGCAATGTGAAGAGCAGGCTCTTGGGTGGTTGCTCTCAGTGTAGCCCTGAAATTCCAAGTCCATTTCAAATTGTCCTAAAAATGTACAGTAACCTTTTATTGATGCTGTTGCAGTCCAGTTTTATTTTACTAAGGAACAAAAGTGTCCGTCAAACTATTTAAGTTACATATTGGAAAGACACTGTTGATCACTTTTCAGGAGGTTGAATTTATACAATTATTAATGTCTGTCGAAAATGTCGATGATCTAGTGCAGTTCAGTTTGTTGCTTCTGTGTTGTCAGTATAGCGCCTGACAAATTTCTCTCTTTATTTCTGGTTAGCCACTGACATGTTGAACCGAAGTTTTGTGTATTGTGAAAAGTGGCACAGAAAACAAAACAAAACGAAAACAACCCTGATTGACGCAATATTTCACAGCTGTAAGGCTGAACAATTTTCTATCGAATGTGAATACATTATGTCCTTTTTTCAAACTTGATTAATTGGCACCAGAATCGTAGCCTAAACAGCTTTTCTGGTTGTGAACACATGATGTGCCTCAAACAATAAATGCTTCGAGTAGATGCGATCAAAGCCTGCACACCATTACGCACACAACGACCTCCAGTCACGCACAGCATGCACTCCAGCCCGTGTGGGCAATTTAGCAAGAAGAGGATGTGATTAATTTAGGCCAGGGGAGCATTATTTGATAATTTTCCTGTTTTTGTAGGGGGGGAGGGGGGCACAAGCCAGCCATGCTTTGATCCAGCAGTCTGCTGATTGACAGAAACAGGGGACGGTGGGATTGGAGCCGTGCGCATTGCCGAGAAAAGGGATAACGAGAGGCCGGGGGTCGGGGGGAGGGAGAGAAAGGAAACCGGGACGTGTTCCTACAAGGGGCCAATTTCAGGGGCCCTGAACCACTTGCCAACGGCAATGTCTTTGGCCACAAACTTTGATTTTCGACAAAGGCGAGATATGGCGGCCAACTTCTGATGCACGGCCAGTGCCATCACAACTAATTCGCCTGAGTCTTTGGAACAGCATTTGTTTGCTATTTCTCACTGCAACCTCATATTTTTCGATACTCTTGGGTGCAGTTGTTCGTGTCAGAGCGATATTTGCTTCCACCCTGCACAGCGGCCACGTTCAAGTTCAGCACAAGTTCTGCTCCTACAGACTTTTTTGTACTCTATATGTTTGTACAGAGCAAATATGTAATGTAATGTAATGTAATGAACAAAGGATGTACTTGTAAGCAAACCGCATGCTTAAATGTGAGCCAGAGGTGAGTGTGCTTTAAACCAGATGTGGGAACGAGCATGCACACGTTGCATTGGTACAAATGAGATCATGCAAGGTTTTAAACACAAGCTACCATTTTCAATAATGGTGAACATTTACAAACGGTGGATATTATCCTGAGCAGTTACATACAGCAAGAAAAATTTGGATTGACCACTCAAAAATTAGAGTCCCCCCCAAAAAAATCCCCAGATCAAAGACCTTCTACCCCTAAAACCAATACGACCCCCCTAAAAAACCAAATGATCAAACAGAAATTTAAAAAAAAATCACACAAAAAAGGAACTGGATACATGTATTTGTTTGTGAATACAAATAAAGTACAGCCACAGACTAGACAGGAAGGAAGCTGCTGTCGAAAGAATTAAAAAAAAAAGGACCTGAACTGGTTGTCTGAAAGCGTGCAATATGGCATCGGGATATGTACATGTATTGCAAGGCTACTAGAACAAAAGCGGTCATGTGCACGCGGTTAATGGACACGAAGACAGAACTCAGGCAAAATAGTGTATTGGTTAGACCATATTGCAGTTAATGCAAATGTGTAAACTGTGTGACGGAGTTTGAAATTGATTACATTCTGTATTCATTTTGTTCAAGACTAGGAGTTGAAAAGAAAAATTGTTTCTAAAATGTTTGTTAGGTCACACCCTGTATACATGTACCGTACATGTGCTTTTAGTATCGCAATTAAGTGCTTAGGTTTTCTTTGCAATCCAGATTCATCAAGAAAGTCATTTTGTTTTGACGTCCAGTTTACCAACATAGGAAATGATTCACCGCTTGTGCTGATTAAAACAGCATCTGTTTGGCACATTCTTGCACAAAACAGAAGCCGTGATGTCCTCAAGACTTGGCGGTGTTTTTCTGGGGGGGGAGGAGGGAAGGGGTCTCTGATTTGGGCCCCCCCCCAAATACCACCGCTTTTGCCACACAACTCCGTTTGGGGGAACTTCCTCGTTTTTCCTGTGCAAACTGCAAACAAGTTTCTGACGTGCACCATTTCACAGTGTACATGCACCTGTTGGGTCAGCGCACAGAATTCTCTGCTCCGTTTCCACTGCGACGAGATTCATTATGATGCGGGTCTCTCTAAGGCACAAGTAGTGTGCAGGTCAGCTCAGTGCAAGTACATTAGCCACGCTACCGGTATTGAATGGCCTGAGCAGGTTGTTTCACAATTAACGTTCAAGAAAGGAGACAAATCATGAAACGGTTGAAGTCAGTGACCATCAGTCAGGCATATTCCTTGATGAGTTGACATGTCATTGCCGCACACGTGTACTTCTTGGCACGCATGTGGTGTGGGCTGTGGAGTGTGTGTGAGTAATTTGGCAAATCTGTAGCACATTGGTTGCTACTGCAGGTTCATGGTGCCAGGGGTCTTCACGGTGCACTTGTAAATGTAATCGTGACCTCTCAGTCAGGTGCTGTTTGAGGATTACACTGGTCGCGCACAAAGTGAATTCAAGGCAGTTGTTGGGCAACCAATGTCAGTCTTGTAGTCCGCTCTAATGCCGCACGAATGATCTTGATACAGCCTGCAGCTTTGCACTGAATCCACCTTTCCAAGAAACCTGATCAAGGGATCCATGGGAACAAGAGGAGGGGAGGACCTGTGCCCCAACTGCCCAGCTCCATTTTTATTGAATGGAGCTGAAGAGTGACTTTGCTGTCTGTGGGTTGAGGAGTACACTTCAGAATTAATCATGGCTTGGTGCACCAAATTTGGATGGAGAGGAGCATGTGCAAGGCTTTTGAGGATTAATCTTACAGTGTGTTTCAGAACAGCTGTTTCCTCATTGTAGCACATAGGAACAAAGGCTAGGAGTATTGCTGGAATGTCAAAGCAAGAAAAGATAGCAAAACCTAATAAATATGCATGTTCAGCTTGCTTTAGATAGGCCTACATGTACATGTACATGCTGATGGAGTGGACACTTATTATGGGAGATGGTTAAACAATAAGCAGTGTAATTATGAATTATAGGCTTTGAGTGTGGCATGGTTTGCATACATTGTTTGGTGACCTTAAATTTGAGAGGTTCAAGGCTTGCCAAACACTGTTTCTACAGTGTCTTGACAGCCAACTTCTAAACAGTCAGTTGTTTGGGTTTTTTTTGTTAAAAACAAAATTCAAAACTCTACTACACTTTGTATAATTTTGAAATGTGCGCAGTTCAGATTTCCCGTGCATACATGTACATGCATGTTGCGCAATGAGAGACATTGGAACTTTAGATAAGTCTTGAAGGTTTGCATGGTGAAGAGGTATAATAGAAAAATAGGTTTGCGGTAGCACCACGGACGTATCTCTTTTGTGAGTATTTGCGGTTCTGAAAAGAACATACTGCTCAAAACGTCGAGTACCACTGGTTCCTATCAGAACTGCAAATACTCACAAAAGAGATATGTCCATGGTGCTACCGCAAACCTGCTTTCCATTGGAACTTTGTTGAGACCAGATGAAGAAAGTCAGGGTAAAGAAACAAACGACCTATGTATACAGGCTCGTATTCATAAAACAGATTTTACATGCATCATAACATCACGTGTTTTCATGTGTTTAAAATTCAAGTTCACCGCAGACTGTGTCCTTGCACGCTGCATTTCTCCATAGCCAAGTGTAAACAGGGCGTCCGGTAGTTTAACCAGTTCTGCTCAGTCCCCAGCCTAAGAAATTGTCAGTAATGGATGTGTGGTGGTAAATAACATGCCAGGCCTGTCCCCGCCAAGAAACTGCAGCTCACTGGAGCCATGGTGCCCACGTGTCTGGTGCTGGTCACAGTGGCAGGGAGCTCGCAGAGAGAGAGAGAGAGCTCGGAGAGATATGAAAAAAAAAAACACTGAACTGTTACTGGAGCAGGCTCTTTGGTACAGCAGAGCTTTGATTTCCCTTGCCTGCTTGAGAAAGTGCCTTTTATTTGGGGGGGGTGTCTGTCTGCCGGATTGGTCAGAGAATTCATCACATGCGTTTGATGGATTTCGTTGATCGCTCTCTTGCACCCCCCCATTGACTGAGATCGAATGCAGATTGAAATTGAAATCAACATGTAGGTTTTTTTTCCTCCCGGTAGAGGGACGAAGTTAAGGAATCGGTCAGCATGCACAGTTGTTTATTTCTCTGCCCGTGATTTATTTGTCTGAAGCTAGGTAGTGGAATTTGTAATTCTTTCAGGGGTGTTTGATTTTGTGAAGATATTTTTTTTGGTAGCTGGCCTTACAACAGCGGCACAAGTACTCTACTGTTCATAATGTGCACGTTTGCATATCTGTATTAACTTTGGTTAGTCCTTTTGGAGAATGGAATGCAGCTAGCAATAAATACAAAACATGTTTTGGAAACAAAGCAGTAGGCTACAGATGAGAGATGAGAAACTACGTTTAAGATACCTGCCCTTGTACAAGTTACCGGGCATTTCTGGCTTACACTGATACAAGGGTTTAGAAAATTTTCTCTAAGCCATGAGTACAATACCCACTCTCTTGCGTAGAGTACAGTACTCTTTGGCCCTCAGTGTGGTTTCGTATTATACTCTTCTTCTTCAGGAGAGGTGGAGGACTGTACCCCCTAAGAGGTAGAGGAACTGAGAATTATTAGACAAGTATGTCATTTTGCCTTAGTAATTTCTCTTGAAAAACACAGTAAGAAATCAGTGCTTAGTGATAACCATGCACTCCTGACACCAAAGACAAAAAATCACATACACTGTAAGCCCGTATCCACCTGTGTACGTTGGCACATGTGAGGCTACTCAGCTACTGGGCTCGGATGCCATGTTGACTGGCCGCTGTGCGCACACACCCAGCAGTGGCCATTCAGAAAATCAGGGTGCACTTCATCGATCGGCGGTCAAATACACTCACACTCACGATCTAAACCTCTGTCTGTCTAAGGTGTTTCAGACTCAAATTTTCCAAAACTGATTCCTGGTTTCTTGCAGATGTACCGGAAAGCCTCTAAAATGCCACTAGAAAAAATGTCTGTGTTTAGCGGATCAAAACTTGCCGAAAACTTTTTTTGCAGAACTTTCAATGAGGAGTTCAGGCAACTCAAACCCTATCAATTCATGCAAAAATCAAAGAAAATAGTGTGGTCCCCATGGGCTAGAAATCGATTTTACTGCATCGTGTCTTTGGGGAGTCTGGTGACATGTTTTTGTACTCAAAAAGGATCCATACTTACAATGCGTATGCAGTAGCCCATTTTAGTCTATAACACGTTTCGCTTTGGGTATTTCCTGCTAATTTCAGGATTTTCTGAATACCTTTATCATGGTTATGCACAGAGCAGCAGGAAAAGCTGTACGCAGACGAACATGAACAAATCAGTTTCAGTAGCGTCCACTATGAATGTTACTCTGTCGGACAGGGCCTAATTGACGAAATATGAAAAATATGGAAACTTATGTTACTCTTTCTGTGGTGGAAATCACTGCATATTTTACGTTCTGCATGAGGTTTTATGCTGTGTATTTTGACTAAATTTCCAAGTTGGGAAGCGTGCATACGCCAATACGCATGTTACCTAAACCCCTGGCTATAATTACTGCTTAAAAGTACCATTGACCAGTCTACCGGTATACTGTACTTGGAGTAAACATTTAGAACTACTCTATAAAACATTCCTTATAAAGGCGCATTATGTTTCAGTACAAAATGATAAATAAATGTCCTGAAATTTCTTTTAGGGGGGGCGGGAATGGCAAATTTACCTGGTCAGTCAGTGGCAAATTCAGTTCAGTTCAGCTCTCCGTCAACACTGTTGACATGTGCCTTGATTACAGGAATGCACATGTACAAGTACTTCCCAACTTAGCTTGTCTAGTCAGCTGAACAGGTGCATGTCTGATTGTTATTGGAGGGAGGAGGGAGATGGGATGTCACTGGGCAGTGCCCACGTGAGAGGCCGGATGTTTGTGGGCGGGAGAGAGGAAGTGATCTCAAAGAAGAACTAATGAGACAGGGCACTCTGAAATGCCCAAACAAGTCATCTGGGATTCTAATCAGGGCGGATGGTAGGAAGAGGTCAGGATGTTTGGGCGAGGAGGCAATTTTTCCAGGAAGAAGATCAGAGACGCTGACATAAGTGGTGTGAATTTACCTAGATGGTTATTGAGCGCTTTACATGTACTTTGAATTGCAAAGTTTTGACAGGTTTGGGACATCGTATTTTGCATGATGTTTTTGTCCCCAGTTTTCATGCGAGTACGAGCACTGTTTCCACGAGCATGAGTACATGCACAAGCACTAGAAAAAGTTCTTCAAATCAGCTCAAAGGACGAGAATGAGTACCACGCCCATGGTCAACCTCAGCCTTGGTCAGTTTTTCAAGGAATTCCGACACACTTGCAAGTATGCAGGGACAGAATTCTAACCCTTGCTGTTTTTTGCCCTCCCCCCCCCGTTTTGGTTGGTGCTGGACAGGTTGCTGGCAGGAAGGGTTTTCCCCACGTCATCTATGCACGGATTTGGCGCTGGCCGGACCTCCACAAGAACGAGCTCAAGCACCTCAAGTTCTGCCAGTACGCCTTTGACCTGAAGTGTGACAGCGTGTGCGTCAATCCTTACCATTACGAAAGGATTGTGTCGCCGGGCATAGGTGAGAAGCGATTCTGTCTGAGGTGTTCTTCTCTAGTCTCCAAGTGAAAAACTGAGGACTTACGTGGACGTGTAGAGTAAAAAGGTCTCTTTCATTTCACCGCTGGTCAATTCTCATTTTACCGCTGGTCAATTCTCATTTTTAAGAAAAAGCAAGTTGTTGAGGTTCTGCCGTATTCCTGAACAATTCTGCAGTTGAAATTATGGCGATTCTAATTATGCATGCTCTGTGTGTTCCAATAAAATATTCTTGAAGTCTGTAAAATCATCATAGTATGCTAAACTCTAACCACAAGCTGTTGAACCTTTCTAACTGGGTACGCATTCCTTCTACTGTAATAGAGGTTTTGCGTGGTAGCCATCTTGCAGTGCAGGTCTTTAGTACCACATGGAAGCCTCCTTTGTGCATACCCTGTGAAACAAAAGCACCAGCCTGCTGGGTGGCAGCCATGCAAACCCTCTGTAGAGGGTTTTCACCCTCACATTATTTTCTTTCATCATGATGTCATATTGTGTCATATTTTACCATGGAAAGCAGAGTGTTTTCCGAGCTCTTGTGCATGAGGACAGTTGATGACTGGAAAAGGTCTATGAGACTCATATTCTTGGATCAGGTGACATTTGGCCAAATCCATTGCTGAATTGATAGTCGTTTGAAATGTACTTGAATGAAGTGTTAATGTGTAAAGCGTGTTATATGCTTTACGTTGAAACCCAGCAATGGCAAAGTTTGTGAATGGGAAAATAGTGTTGGAGTGTCCCCAGGCAGATGGTGACATGTGTAATACCTGATTGTGGAAATAAAGACTTACATGTACATGTACAGTGGGACTAAGACTTACTGTACATGTACATGTATGTACATGCACCGATACATGGAGATGCACATATTGCTTTTGGCCATTTTAATTTGCACATATGCATCAGGAAAAAAGAAAGCCGGCTCAACAGAAATATGAATAAGAGGCTTAGCTTAATATTGGAGGAAACCCTTTATGTGTATGCATAAGAAACCAACGCAGCCTTGAGACTGGCAAGGCAGCTCCTGTGGGGGATCGCAGACAATGAAATCACTCAAGCGATAGATTCCCTTTCCAGGAAGTGCATTCAGCAGGGCTGGTTTAGTCTCCCACAGAGTCGCCGGCTGACTGGAGCCTTAATCTGAGCAGTGTGGTGCACGCAGTCTGCTTTTGCTGTGTTGTTTGGGAAACTGCAGTGTGAAAAGTTGGAACATGTTGGGAACTTGAATGTTTACGTAGCCATGTTCAATGTATACTCCTAAGATGGAAAAGGGAAAAACAAAAAGCTCCAAGGTAGAAAAGATTCAACGAGAAGATAAATGCTCTTCCTATAGAACTTCTTGAAGGTCCAGGTACTTTTTTTTTTTTAAAACCCCAAGGGAGGTTCTGAAAAATTTCACTTGCTCAATCAAAACAACTGAACTCTGACTTCATACCCGGTATGTTTTGAACTTGTCTGTCCACCGAGCAAGTTTCTTGGGGTTCACCTTATGCACCTGCCATGAGAAATTATCTGTCGGCAATGCCTCAGAAGAACCTCCACTGTGCCACGATTGCCAGTAATGTGTTAACTCACTGAAACGTAAGAAATTCTTTGAAAGTAGCTTTTCATAACATAACACCTCCCCTCTTCATTCATTTCTGCCTGCAATTACCCACCCCCAACCGGGCCCCTCCCCCAAAATGTAAAACAGTCATTTCATAAAACACAAGAAATGAATAATGCTAAGTATCTGTATCTTTCTAATAGTACGGTGTTATTAAATGTTACCATTTTTCCTTTTTTTTTCTCTCTTGAATTTCAGATTTGTCTGGCTTGACTCTGCAGCAGACGGGTAAGTGACAAACTTTGGTGTTTGTTCTGTCAATGATTTTTTTTCATCGATCGATTCGGGTTACTTTTTTGTGTGAAATGAGAGAGTTTATTTGTACACTGTGTTAATAAATTATGCAGAAATAGACCAGTTTACCTAGTCCTCGTGCAGTTATAATTTTACGAAGAAAATGCAAACTTTCTGTACTTAAGTTTATTGATTTTGAGTTCTAATTGTAAAAAGTAACCATTAAAATGCCTTTCATTGAAACGTGTAAATGTTTCTATTGTCCCTTTTTTTGAAACTAGGGCATTGATTTGATACGTACATGTATGTACCTGTCAGAATGGTCTTTGTCACAAAGTGTGACCTTGCCGTAAAAAAAGAAAAATCCTCAACTGGAGTTGGCCACTCCTGTTTTCACAGCTCTCAAGGCTATGGCCTACATAATTACCATTTCTGGGTCGCGTACGTGAAGCTACTCACATCCATTTGTTCAGGGAATTAAATGATCGGTCCCCGATTCCACTCCTCACTCCATGGAGCCCATGTCTTGCGGCACCCTCCCCAATGTTGCCGCTGTATAAGTCAACACCTCGGTCACGATGCGGGCTGGATGGATCAGTGCAGCTTGGCCAAGTTTTTTCCCGTAATGATTTATGTTCTTTTCTTTTTTTTCAAATTTTTTTTTCTGTCTCTCCCGATAACAAGTTGGCCCAGATCCCTGGGTTTTTGGTGTTTAGGAAACGGATCCATACAGAGGTCTCTGGGTTCACGGCTCACACCATGCTGGTATGAAATTTGAGCCAAGGTGGACCTGCCAAGTGATTGCTGTAGCTGTTTCCTATCTTGAAAGTTGGCCTTCATCGTTAAAGAGCACTGTGTATAAGAACTTAGCAACTGGCAGGATGCGTAAGATTCCAGCCATATTTATACAGTTTACATGTACAGGTCTTATGGACACAAAGTCAAGTTCTGGCTCTGAGAGGTAGAAAGAAATGTATACTAGTTCGGTCACACCTAGTCCTGTACAGTTTTGTGGTGTGGTATGGGATATTTCTTCTTGTGACCATTTTCAGAATTTAGTGCTTTTGCGTAGAACCTCTTAAAACCTACTGAACACCACTCACATTGTTAACCACACATGTAGGCAAACCCAGTCCATTGAAAATACCTGGGCCCTTCAGTGCTGTGTCCGTCAAATTTCTTCGAAGACCAGGCGCTTGACGCCTACTGCACACAGGTTTCTCTGCGTGCCATTTCAGTAGCGCACACAAGGATTTGTGGCAGAAAACGTTGATATCAAATTGACTGTTGAGTTGGCCCTCCATCATCAAAGCACGTGCACCGTCTGACTACAGTACAGTACCCGAATGAGCGAGAGGACTATTCTTGATATCAAAGTATTTGACCACGAATGGAGCCCTTAAGGAATATTGATCCGCTCAGGGTGCCCAGATGCACGACTGCACACTGGCATTCTTTTCTTTCTTTTTTTCCCTTCCCCTCGAGTCTTTTTTTTTTCTCTTTCCCACTCTGACTGTTCATGACTCATGCATATCAAATAAACGTATTATAGCCAGCGTGTAGGAACATGTACATGTCTAAATGTGGGTTATGCGGTTGGCCTGTGTCGGCTGTCTTCAGCGCACTACATGCATTACGGGATCGCAAGTAGTGATTTGATACCTTTTTTTTTCTCATGGAATACTCATTTGGGGTAATATAGTATGTGTATGCATACATCCTGTACGCAGATGTTCAGTACCGGTACTTGTGGCTCGTATCGAGTTCTTTAATTTCATAGCGATGTGCAGCTGTAGCCATGTTTCTTGTCAACTTTTTTTCTTCTTCGTCATTTATGGTCACAATTGAAGTGATATTCTGTGTGTGATCTGAATTGAATTCTGACAAAACGGAAGGAGAAACTCTAATGGATATTGTTTTATTCAGAGAGTGAGAAACACCAAATTGTACGGAACATGTAAATCTTGGCAATGACATGATCGGAACCATTTTGACAAATTAAAATGCGGCAGCTCTGTTTTTCATTGCAAGTGCCCTTGGTTGGATGTCTATTTCAAATACACCATGTACCTTTGTATGCATATTCCTCAGTTAACTCACAGGCTAAGACTCACGCAAAGTGCTACCGGTATTTTTTGACCTAAATTCTTAACCCCTTCACGCCGGGACGCGTTAAAACACGCCATAAAAATTGAGATCCTCAGCCCACTTTTTAGCTATTATTCTCGGCCCACGCTCGAGCGAACACGGTGAAAGAAGGCAGACCCTGGCTCTTATGTATATGGTAATTGGTCTTTGTGTGTAGCCCAGAAATGAAAAGGCCGAATCTGCATCATAATCACCAGCTTCACAATAGTCCTCACTTTGAAAAGAGGCTACGGGAATGTGGAAGCATGAGTAGAGCTGCATTCCACCGAACAATCGGCCTTTTCACCGTGTAATTCAAAGCGTGCAGAGCACGCTAGGCCACAAACCGAGAATTTGCGGTGTGGCAGGTGGCCTTTGTGGCCAAGCAAGGCTGGAATTCTTGGAGTCGGCTTTCGGAAAGAAATTCCCACCAAGAAGGGGTTAAAAAGTGGTCAAATACAGGTATAAAGATGGACTTATTTGCCTGTGAATCTTGAAAAAAGTAAACAGCATACGCTGAAACCCTTCCTTTACTCATTTCGTGGATAATACATTTTGCTCTTGTCTGACTTCACAGATTTTTGATGTTATTTTTGTCAGGATAGATGGTTCAAGCTTCTTAGTTGTACGACAAGTGAAAAAATTATTCTGAACTATTCGAATGAAGATACCCACAATGTAAAAGGAGCACAGTTTATTGTTTAAGGTGCGGTCATGATTGTTTTGAAGTGTTTGCTAGCTCTCATTTGCTTACTTTAAATAGGTCCTTTGACAAGAGTACATGTATGTGGACATTGGCCAAGCCCTCAAAGTAACCTGGCCACGAACCGAAACCACACTGTAACAACACTACGCATCAAATCATTGTTCGTTTATGCCTTTGGGTTTTTTTCTCCAGCAGGCCCACCAGGCCGACTGGTCAAAGATGAGTTCGGTGGCGAGTGCGTCCAGGTGGAGCATAACATATCCCACCCGCCTGGCACCAGCAACGGCTCTTTGGGCATGGGCCAACGCATGCACCTCACCGGACCCATGCCGTCCACTTCACAGATGAGTGAATTCAGCCGGATGATTGCACCTCACAGTAAGGTCAAAGGGTTAAAAACAAACAACAAACCCAAAGAAGAGAAGAGTTTGGAAAAAAAACACAGTTCTCATACACGCAGCTTGCAACATCAGCTGTAAATAGATTGGACAAATCTTTTTCCAAGTTCCAGCGGTGCCTGTCACTGTATATCGGGGAGGTCCTTCATCATGTTGGAAGGATCCCAACAGCTGTTGCACAGACCAAAGCCCTGTTACACATGACTCTATGGGTATTGACTGCAGCCACTGTCATGTACTCATGTAATTTCAAGCCGCGGCTAAGTGATTGAACATGGCCTGATTGTTGGATTTGTTCAGAACAAAACTGGTTCCCCGCTTTCACCTGCAGAGATATTTGTCAGGTACCAGGAACCATCTATAAGCTTTTGGAATTCGAATCTTTATGGCTGTTGGCATTTGTGAATCAACATGCTTTGTTGTATCTGCATGTACATATAAGTTTTGACAGGATGCCAGTACAGTGAATCCTGCAGGTTTTGTTTGAATTCTTTAAATACGAATTTTATTTTAACATTGTTTTGGCTTCTATTCAAAGCAACTATGCTCAAAGTTTTTTCAAGATGGTTGCTTTTTTTAAAAAAAATCCCTGTGACGAAAAGGCCTTTCAACTCTCAGCTTTCCTTGTAGACTCATGAGCTCTCGATCTTTAGTCATTTGACCAACAGACCAATTGGTTAAACTTGTTACTTGTGGACAGTTAGTCATCAATTTTCCTCACATCGATTCAGTCAAGAATAACCACTCAGTTGGTAACTTCACTGATCTTTCTTTTTTCAAGATGTATTTTGCGTTGGGGAGATGTTAATTTATAACGGGTTTTGCCCTTGGGTAAGGGCAAAACCCGTTATAAATTCCCTTATCTTGACAGATCCATTCAGATTGTACCAGAGTCTGTCCTTTAAATTGTTCCAATTCTTCCTTTGTTTCAATTTCTCGGAGTGACCACATAGAAATGCTTGGGATCTGGATAAATGCCATTCTTGCAATTAACATTCATACCATGACCACTGTTCCATTTGCATCGTCACTATCTCTCAGCATTTTCAGCACAAGGACACCTGTCATGTCACACCAGTCACTGTAAAGTCGGTCACCAAGCAGTTAGACTGATCCTCGCTGTAGATCCCGCCAACGTTTTTGTTTTTATGATCAATAAAAAGCCCGCATTAATTTGCTAAGGGGTCTATCTGCCATAGCGCATATCGGCATGTTCAAGTTCTCTCTGACCTTCCCGTGCCCTCGGTCCCAAAAGACACACAGAAGAAGACAAAACAAGAGCTTCATGTCGCCAAAGTGCTTTGGCAGGCTGCAAGTGCCAAGTGCGGGGCCCATTTGTTCCTTATTAGTTAGCTTCCTCTTCCTGACATTAAGCCACTTCCTCCGAGAGATGATGAGACAACTGCATTCCTCTCTCAGAGGATGGGCGGATCTCTCTTTTTCTCGGCAAACAGCCTGCAGTTGACATTTTTGACCTCCCACAAGATGTAGGTCGACCAGATTGTTTGCTGTCGATCGCTGACAGGGAGAACAAAGTAGACCCCTGTCAAGTTACCCCTCTTTTTTGTTAACCTGAATAACAGTGAAGATTACTGAGATAAAAACCCCTAGAGGATTGTCTTAAAAAGTTTATTTGTGGGTTAAGTTTGGCCTCGGAAGACAAGTAAACCAAAGTGGCAAATTTTATTTAGATCGCTAACAACCTTTTGGTTTTGCTCCCTAAAGTTGCGGCTTGTAGTTATAGTGTTCTGCTAACAGTGATTTATTCTTTGCTTCAATTGTGTAGTTCAGACATTTCAAAAATACACTTTCAAGTGGTTTAAATAACCAGCTTTTTGATACGTTGTTTTGTTCTGCTATTTCTTAGTAATGGTTCTAGTAATAGCTTTGATGTTCCGTAATTGCATTTCCACTCCAGGGAACGAGTTTTCAGAATTTCAAAGTAGAAAACACTGAGCACGTAAACATAGCAGATACATGTATTCTCGCTCGAGCACACTTGTGATTTTTTTTTTCCGCTCGCATACCCCAGGACATCACTGAATATACAGTGCTTATGAAAATTGTTGACCAAGAGCAAATCCTTTACAGATCTTTCTACTTGTAATTTTTATGAGCGAGTACAGGTCACAGAGGCTGGCTTGATGAAATGCCGCCAAAACAGGGACTGGTTGTTCGGTGGATTCAGTGCAGATTGGATTTATCTTGCCAAATGCTAACTACCAGTTTTAAATCCCCAGAATGTATTGAGAGATGAAAATTTTTGGAGCCTGTGGTTCGAAGAGAGGAAACGCACACCCATTACATTTTGTGTGTTGCATTGCAGCCATTAGCACTAGTCTGCCTGTGCCTTTGTCACAACCCCTCATGGTGAGCACCATCCCAGACCAACACCCACCACCACAGCCCAATCATCCACTCACCACCAGTACTGCAGTCATGCCACAGGACCCGGGACAGATAGGTACCCTAAGAGTCACCTCGTACCCAGCGTTGCGGTCGAGTCCAGGTCCTAGTCCGTTGGCTAAAACAACAGTTGAAGTTCAGTTGAAGCCAAAACTCCCCAAAATGGTCTGGAGTTTATTTCTGTCCTGACCGAAAATGGAGATTGGAATTTAAATTCCGAATGGCATTTTTATTCAGAGTCATAACTGCTTAACTGATTCAGACTTGGCAGGAAACATGAAGATGAAAGGTGTTCAGCTGTAAGCTGAGTTTTGATGCGAGTCCAACTTCACGACAGCCCTTGAGATGAATGAGTACGTTTGAGGCTGAGATAAAATCTAGGAGGCTGTCGGGCTTAAGTCAAGTCTTCATTGCTTTGAGGACGAGAATTACACGGGTCCACTTTGCGGTGCTCCAATTTTCTGTGCCCTGGAGCTGGAATCGGCCACAACGCTGTCTCAAGCGTAGGGGTGACCGTGTGTAGCAAAACTTGTCTGTCTGTTTTGTGGTGGGTGTCTTGGAGATTTCAACCGTTTGTAGGATCATGGGTGTTGAATTGCTGTAGGAATCCAAGTCCCATTTCAGTGTACATGTACATTTCCAAATTTCATGTGCTCATCTGCAGCTTCAGTACCATGAAGGTATTGCCTCGTTAATAACAGCATTTTTAGGGCCGAGGCAAATTTTTTTTATGGGGAAAAGAGGTTCATTATTTATTTGGTTTTAATTTTTTTTTTCTTCACAATCATTGCTATTTTTTTTTTGGTAGATTTGCTTTTGGAAATAGTCAGAACAAACTAACAAGCCTTCTGCTGACAATTCACTAAGCTTCATTACCAGCATCTGGAAGGCTTGCAGTTGATAGTTGTGTGTGGTCACTGAAGTTAATGAAATGCATCAAAAGTGTGTTTTTTCTCCTTGGCTCAAGGTTCGACGATGCCCCCGATGCCCCAGCATGCCATGGCCTCTCAAATGCCAGCCTTGCCCCAGTCTCCCAGCACTTCCTTCCCACCTCCCTCTAGGGTCCAGTCCCCAGGCTCCGCCCCACCTTCCATTCAATCCCCGCCCATCCCAGGCCCACCCTCTCAGCAACAGCAGGCTCCACCCCCTCAGGGTCCTCCCCCACCCCCCCAGGGCCCCTCGTCACAGGTTCCGCCACCGGGTCCAGCACAGGTCGGGGGGACCTCGGCGAGCACATCAGGCGGGCCCGGACCATCGGGCCAGCCGGGGCCCTCAGGACCCCCACCCGGACCCACGTCTCCAACTAGGTCGACGTCCGACGCTCAGATGGCCAGAAGTAAGTTAGATTGCAGTTGACCACAGTTGCACTCAAGGAAGACCAGTTTAGTTTATAAATTCAGGATCTAAATTCGACATTTGCTCTATAGATCCAGAATTATTGAATAAATTCAACCTGTGAATTTAAACTTAAATCCATTCAGAACCAGTGAACAAGTTCAGGACCGGAGTCTGAAAACTTACCACACCTAAAATCAATGAACAAATTTAGGACCAGAATTTGCACCTTACCATATTTAGAACCAATGAACAAGTTGACGACTTGAATTTGAAACTCACCCTGTAAAGCCTTATGAACAGGACCACAGCCTGAGTAAATGCACATTGCATGACACATAGGACTTCAGACCCCAAACATTTTCCATTTGAGCAGTGAGGTTGTGATAGTACCAATACGAAGAAAAATACAGCATTAAAAAATTCAGAAAAAAATCTGCTCACTGAACCATCATCTAAATGTCGATGGTTGAAATTCGCTCAGGACAAGTTCGGCAACTTCAGTTGTAATCCTAACTTTTCTGTGTTTCTGTTTGTAGCAAGTACTACAGTCTGGACAGGGAACAACACGATGTCCTACAATCCGGGTATGCCGAGCGGTACGTCCCAGGCGGCCAATCCGACGAACCCGTACTGGCAGCAGACCAATCAGATTCAAGGAGAGATCCCGCTTAATGCCCCACTTTCAACTCAGCCAGGTAGGTTGTGGGATCTACCCAACTGCAGTGTGACCGATCTTCAGTTCCGTGCGGAATCTGCGGATGGAGTCTCTTAGATGCATCCCCTGTAAATAGCAAAGTGATTCAGGCCCGCAATGTTTAAAATAAAAAAAAAAAGCGAATCTGGACCTTAATCTGCCTGTTTTTGTTCAAAGTTGCCAAGATTATGATAATTGTCAGCTTTGTTCTTTATCAATGTTGTTTACCACAATACTAATCTGATTCCATTCAGTAGTGCCAACCCATGGTAGGTACCCGTCCATGGCAGGCGTGGGTTGCCTTAAATACGTGAATTTTTTGAACAATTTCCTCCAATCAGAAGTTAAATTTTATAACTCTGACCAATGAATCATGGCCGTTTTTTTTTATCCCAACCCCAGCCCCGGAGTACTGGTGCTCCATTGCGTACTTCGAGCTGGACACCCAGGTGGGTGAGATCTTTAAGGTCCCCTACTCCACCAATCCGCCGCGGTACCCGTCGGTCACCATTGATGGCTACGTCGACCCCTCGGGGGTGGACCGCTTTTGCCTGGGTCAGCTGTCCAACGTCCACCGGACAGAATCCAGCGAGAGGTCACGGTCAGTGGAAAGCTCATCCAAGTTCGCTTGCCCCCCCCTAAAGAGCATTTAACTTAGGCACGGAGTGATTTTACAGGCTGTCAGACTGTCTGGTGCACTTAAACCATCGGAAGATTGCAAACATGTCTCAGATCTTTTGAAGAAACCTTTGACCAAACAACCAGGAGTTTATTTTGTCTGTGATGAGACTTTGCACCAGGAGTGTAACACTTGAAGAGGTTTCCCATAACCCTGAGAGTTGAGAGTTCTCAGATAACCAAATCATTTCATCAAGATAAGACCGTGCTGGTATCCCAAACACAGAAATCGATACAAGTGTGCTAGGAGACCTTTGGTGCGGGTTGTTTTAATCTTCGAAGACCTTTGATACGAACATTGGGTAGGGCCCGTTGAAAAAAAGGAGAAAAACAAGACTTGTTTACCCAAAAGAGATAACTGAAACAGGAAGTAATGTCATACTTGGTGGAGTGTTTGTAAGTGTGAGAAGGTGGTCATTTACATTAGATTAGGTGTGTTGTAAAGAAGTCTTTTTGTTGCTGTTTTCACAGCTTGGCGAAATATTTTTTCCGTGTCCGTTGGCTGCCAGCAGGATGGTGCAGGATAGCTAATGGGCACATACTGTTTACTGTTTACACGTGACCAGAGCGTTTTTATAGCATTCATCTTATTTGACAGGTTGTCTCAGATCATTCAAGGATTTTCAGTTCGTTTTTTTTTTTTTTTTAATCTTCAAATGCCTAAAAAGTTGGATTCCGGAAAAAAAATTGAACAGTTTTCTGCTCTATCAATCCTAACGTCTCTTACATTCTTCAAAATTCACCAGCAAGATGGGTAGAATTTTGAACGATTTAAAAAGATGCAGGCCGACACACGGTTTTCATGGAATTGGATTTCTTTACAAGGTATGGGTCAGGAACATTTTTTCCCGTCAAAAATTTATTCTGCGTTGCCACCTGTTTTTTTTTAATTGGTATTTTTGTTTTTGTTTTTTTGTTTTGTGGGTCCCGCAGGTTGCACATCGGCAAAGGCGTACAGCTGGACCTGAAGGGAGAAGGGGATGTCTGGGTGAGATGTCTGAGCGAGCACGCGGTCTTCGTCCAGAGCTACTACCTTGACAGGGAAGCGGGGCGGGCGCCAGGTGACGCCGTGCACAAGATATACCCCAGCGCTTACATCAAGGTGACCGGCTTAACGTGGCCAAGAGATCGACGGCCCTAATTGAGGAGTCTCAAAGTCCGAATGCTCCAATTTGTTTACTTAGAAGCACACTTTGGTTCTCAGACTTCCAGTATAGGCCTACATTTTGCGTTTGATAAACTTTTATGATAGTCAACGATTTGGACAAATAGCACGCATCTTTCCAGATCTGATCTGATCTGATGTTTTGAGCTGAAGCACTTTTCAAGTAATTGAATTTTATGATGTTATACTTGACCTTTTGACCCCTCTGTTTGACCTTTACACCCTGTGACAGGTGTTTGACCTGCGCCAGTGCCATGCCCAGATGAGAAGCCAAGCAGCCACGGCAAGAGCTGCAGCATCTGCCCAGGCTGCTGCTGTGGCTGGCCATGTGCCTGGACCCCAGTCAGTTGGTGGGATCGCTCCAGCTGTCCGTAAGTCCTCCTTGCGTATTTTGGAAAAAAACAGAAGTGCATTTTTCGAGGATAGATAACTCTGACAGACCAGTCAGAGGATTTAGAACTGTTAAAGTTAGGGGAGGATGGAAAACGAAATAGGAAGTCGTTGAAGGATTTACTTACTCTGAGGTTCCCTCAAAACCTTGTAATCCTTGCAAAACGTACACGTCAACTGCAAGTTACTGTTTGATTGGACATTCTCCCCTCCAAGGATTCTAGTCAGCTGTTGAGGCGGCTTGTTAAACTTCCTTATGGTCAGGTTTTGCTGAATATTCGAATATTATTTTCCGAATTGGAATATATTAGAATGCAAAAATTCATGAAAAGGAAGGGAAAATTCTGTCTTGTTTTAAATGAGATAAATTTCACTGTGGAGGCCGATTCAAATGAAAAGCGATAGAAATCTTACAACGATTCAAAAAGTAGATTATTCATTAAAAAATTTAAAAGGAATAGAAACAGGGCAGGAAGTTTAGGCCTTTCTCCAGTGATGTCATGATCATGCTGGACCTATGATGTGTTGGGATGGTAATGATGCATAGTGTTGTGTTGGTAATCTACCTATTCAAGATAAACTAGTCAAGCATGGAGCATTTGCACATGCGCTTGCACGGGGTTGAAGCTGCCCATAGGAATATATGAAATCACCGTGGCCAAGGTGGTCCACATGTGGTGGTATTGTTTACATTTAGTCATGTGGGTGAAAAAGGTCTATTAGTTGTCTCTTAAATCTTGCTAAATTGTGGCTAAAGATACTCCTGGACATGAGAAGCTATCATAGTGATTATAATGTACATGTACAATTGTGTGTGTTATTGCAACTGATTTTGTACGTGGTTCGTTCATCAACAGTCTGCCAGTCAGTACGACCGAATATTCGGACATCTGCTCGAAGTGAAGGTCAAATATTCGAAAAGTGAATTATTTGAATTGAATCAGCCCTACCTGATGGGCTCACATGTACTCCTTGGCCATTTGATTGGTTTTCTCTTGGTCATTCTAGTGGTCATTCCAGTGGTCAGTTTGCCACTTACTGGTGAGTCTGTTGCATTTTTTCTGAGTTGGTTCACGTCTCACTTTTTGCCATCGTCTGTGTTGCTGAGCATTTCCTTTTGCTCCATCTCACCAGGCTACTCGGCTGCGGCGGGGATTGGAGTGGACGACCTGAGGCGTCTCTGCATCCTCCGCATGAGCTTCGTCAAAGGGTGGGGGCCGGACTACCCCCGGCAGAGCATCAAGGAGACGCCCTGCTGGATCGAGATCCACCTGCACCGGGCCCTCCAGCTGCTGGACGAGGTCCTGCATACCATGCCCCTGATGGACCCCCTCGGAATGGACTAAGAAGGAGGCGACTTAAAAGACATTTTCTCCAGGCGTCCCCGATAACTCTTGGAGTTTTGATCTGAAACTCACAAATTTGTACAAAGTGCTGCAAGGGGAAATGGTCAGTCAGATTTCTGGGGGTGGACATGCTTTTTCTTTGAACTCTGTACACATTGCCACTGTTGGACTCCCTGAGTGTGGACTGGACTAGACGTTGCCGGAGGATGTCAGAAAATTCCCCTTGAGAAGTTGCCGGAGTTTTTATTGTTGGATTGATTGCTGATAAGCTTGGTCGGCATCCCAGCATTTTTGTCAGAGATTTTCCACAACTTGATGCTGCATGCTGCCCCTCTCCCCGCTTCCTAAAACATTGAAATGTTGTGAAACTGAAGAAGGGATGTTTAGACTTGCCTCGGGTGGCAAAGACCACTCCTTCCGTGTAGAAAGTGAACCCCAACAATTGTCTGTTTTCTGTTAAGTTCAAAAATTGTGCGCACATTTAATCAAATTTTTTTGTGTGCACATTCAGCAAAAAAAGTTGTACACATACTGTTGAAATTTTTTGTGCACATTCAGTTGAACATTTTTTTTGTGTACGTTCAGTTGTAAATTGGTTGCGTGCTCTTGCACCATTTGCATACGTGCACATTACTTGTGCTTCTCTCAGCTCTTGTGAGTTGAATACACATGGCTAGTTATATTTCATTCAGCGCATACATAGATCTCTCGGACCTAAACTAGTCTGTTGAGTGTGTTCATTCTATGCATTTCGCGGTGAAAATGGAAGGTCAGTTATTGTCAAAAGTTAAATCACGTGTAACCTTTGTAATATGTAAAAACAGTGGTTGATACTGGCCAGAGAATGGATTGTCTTAGTCACAAGCAGGTTAAAGCAGGTTTGAATGTGGCCTCAAGTTTTCAACAGCGGTTGACAATGTAAGTTGTTACCCTGGGGCGCAAAAGAGCAGGAAAAAAAATCACCTTGGGAATTCTGGCTGTTCACTCCTCCCCCAGGATGCTACAGGTGAGAAGCTATTAACAACCAGGTGTATGTATGTAAATATGATCAGGAAAGAATGTTAAGGATTACTATACTTTGAAGCCAATGAAGAAAAGGACAAGATCTTGTAGCTTCTAGCTTGAATTTGGAGTGGTGTAAGAGGTGAAAAATGAGGACAACCTTTCTGTCGTATTTGTAATGAATGTATTTTATACCTAATGTAATATGTATGCTGTTCTTCCAAGACAAGATGGACTCAGTTGTGTAGAGAATTTTTTCTGAGAATAACAGATTGAAAGTGTTAGTAGTGATTTTTATAACATGTACAGAAAGCAGCGCAGAGATGCGAGTTTATACTGTTTAAGGACGTGACGGCTCACTATTTTCAGCCCCTTTTTTCAGTCTAGGAAACCATGTGAGATTCGGCGGCCAAACTAGAGGATAAAGAAATGTCGTAGGCCAAATTTGTGAATGGGATGTGGTGTCGGGATATCAGTCAGTAGTGGCTACATGTATTATGTTTTTTTGTGCGAGTCCATCTACTGATTATTGCCTCTTTGGTTTTAAAAAGGTACCCTCTTGTATTTTTGAGACGCGTTTGAGCCTTACATCCCCGCCTTCCTTCCAGCCGACTTTGGCAGGATAGATTTTTAATTTGATCTAAAGGTCGACTCTGCTCGGCACAAAGGCAGGCATGGCAGCTTTCCAGTGTCCACCTTGGTGATAGGCAAACTTTGAGTAGTGTATAAATATATACAACAGTGCGATTTTGGTTTAATGAGAGCGTTAGCAAAGAATGAATCATAGTTGCTGTCGTCATTTCGTCACGTAAGCTACTATTGATGTGGACAGAGTTGCCATTCACGAGTGGGAATAAAGCAAGCCATTCAAATTATTCCTTTAAGTTTGAAGGGAACGTTTACCTCATCCAGTTATTCCTTAGAACTGCATTAGGTTCTGTTGAGAACCAGGAACCTTATTTTATGTAACCACCGAGTGCAGAACTTTGCTGAGGCAGTATCTGAATTACATGTGCTTGGTTGTGGCTAGAAATTGCACACAAGCCACAGCAAGTTCCCATGGGGTTGTGTGTATTTTCAGCCGCAGCCTAGTGATTCAGACACGGCCCTAAGCAGGGGAAAAAAAAAAAACTTGCTCAGCAAGAACAGACCACCAAGCACCAACCAAACTATAATGTGGTGTAGGCCTATAGCCCTTTCGATATTCGTAGGCGATATTGGCTCTTCAGCGTATGCATTTGCTGAGTGTTCTTTTGCTGCGAATAGCATGCCCACGAATTTGAACTTTGAGTGCTCTGAAGAGGGTCACCCAGTTGGTATTCTGCAAAATCTGTATGGCTGGTTTTATTTTGTTTCTTGTTCATTTCAAATGGTTTGTGTCAAGGTTTTGTCGTCAGTAGACACTCTTCGAAATTTGCCACCATGTTCATTGTTTTGCATTATAGATGTATTCTCAGTAGCTTTGTATGTAATTTAGCTTTAAAAAGCATGCAGATTTTTTGGTTTTTGATTTGGTTTCAAGAACTGAATGTTTCATCCTTCATATTCAGCCCTAATTACTTCTCATAGATAGTTGGGTGGGTTGAGAAAGGAAGGAACAGGATAGAGTTATATATTTCACAATTTCACAAACCGATGTTTGGAATTTAATATTTGTACAAATACTAAGCCTTTAAGTCTATCAAACTCGTTTTTTAAAGAGCAGATTAATGAATATCTTTGTGGATTTGTGTTTAAAAAGATTGGGTGGCATTCCAATGATTGTCATTGCGTCATCATTAGGACAGTGTGTCCCTAACAACAAATGTGCACAACTCATTCCTGGTTTATGTCATCTTTTGGGGGGGGGTCAAGCTGCCTCGTTTTTGAGCTCGAGCCGTTTACTTGACCTCGTCCCCGTCTCAGACTTCCTCTCCAAAGTCAATCTCTGATTGTAGGTCTGCAGCACTCAAATTAAATTGAAGCACTGTCACTTGTTTGCATCTTTTTGATGTTTCTGTGACACTGTTGAACTTACTATTGAGCTCACATTTTCAAACTTGGGAGGTTTAAAAAAAGAGACGATACCTGAGACAGTGATGACACTGAGCACTGGAAAACAGCCTTGGCAGGGGCTGCATACTCAATGGGTCATTGCTCTCAGTTGGGCCTAAATTTTGATTATAACAAGAAAGCCTACGCACTTGCTCTGATTGGTGCTTGGACTTAAGCCTCTCTCTGTCCAAAAATGGAATGCCTTCCCATGTAATGGATGTAACTACAGAACATTTGAAGTAATCATGAATAAATTTGAATAAGTGGAAAGTAATCATGTGACCAATTTGAATGAGAAGAAGAAGCCAGGGCTCTGTCTTTTTTTTGAAAAGAACCATCCGTGGAATGCTGAATGTTTGCTCTGATGCAAGTGTTTTATATTAAACATTTGAATCAGTCGCCAGAAGACAGTGCCTGAGAAGTGTATTGCTTTTTAAGAACATTGTACATGTCGATGCTGTAAGAGTCGCTGTCAACATGAAAGGACTGTGATATTATGCACTCAAAAATATGAGTTAAAATACTTTTCCCCCTCCAAGTCAAGAAACTTTGTGTGTTCGTGTGAGGTTGTACGTTGACTAGCAGGGAGTGTCTACATGCATTACATTTTGTGTTTTTCATTCTCAAATGTTGGTGACATAGCCAGTACCAAATACCACGGTTACGGAACAAACGGGGCTCTGGGCACAGGTGAGGGAGGATGCTTCATTTATACCAGGCAACCATTTCCCTTGGGAGTGACCACCAACAGCTGATAACCTTCACTGGTTGACACGTGCTATAGTCTTCATCTTAAATAATGTACGTATACCAGTGGACATAGGTAGACTGTTCCCCGTCCCTCCATTATCACTCTTACTCATTTGTCCTCGAGGCGGGAACCAGGTAGTCGGGCCCGGCCTCATTGTGCATGGAACCCATAAGATGGAGTGACTGTGTTGTCAAGCTTTCTGTGGCCTTATTTCAGCCCAACAGCTGTGCGTCATGTATCATATTTTGCTTGATTTTGGTGATTTTGACGTAAATTTTACCATAGCCATTTGTAATGAATCAATGTGTGACTTCAATTCAAGCATCGTGTCGAATGACTTGTACTTGGGAAGGTGGACAGTAGCACCGAACAAAACTGCCAAATTTCAAAAATCCAGCTGTCAGGTTTTTCTTTGCGAAACTGAACTCTTGGACTGTTGTATTGTCATTAATCTCAGGAGGAAGTTTGAAGCTGACCCTAGCCACAAGACTAACCCCAATGCAATTACACTCGTAAATTTATAAATGCAACTGATTACAAGTGGTACCACTTTTGAGAGAAAACAGTTTTGAAGAAATTTGACGTGGCTATTTATTTGACAGTGAGATGCAGATAACATTAGAGTGAGGTTCACCAGACTTGAGTTTCCCTAGTCTAGGAAACATAGCTCTTTTTCGAGTCATTTTTGGGGGGAGGGCAGAATAGTTGCTGGAACATAAAGCAGTGGAAGAACTCAATGCTAGAAATTCTATCAGTCGATTGACATTTGATTTCAGGGGAAAAAAAGACTTCAGAAAATGTTCTCATAGTTTAGTGATAGATTTATTACTTGTGGCCCTGTCCTTTGAAAGTTTGTTCCGTTTACATATCAAGTAAATCAGTCTTCAATGACTCAGGGGTCCAGTCTGACTCGACTGTGCATAATTATATTTCTTAAATGGAAGTCAGTTTACAAGTAAATGTACGTCCATCTGTACTTCTGTTCATGAATGTTTTGTGTTTATTGCCGTCAATTAACAACTGTCGTTCATTAACAGTTGCGTAAGTTTTCTTTAAAATATTAATCCTTTTATCATGAATTCTATTTCAGTTCCCCATGACTGAAGTCTTCAAGAATTTTCACATTATATTGACACGTTCTGTGTCAACAAAGACCTGGGTGTGGACAGGAAACAAATGTCATTTACACGTAGTGACGTCAAACATTTGAATCGTAGTTTTTTTTAATGCTTACAATACAATTTGATCTTGAAATACTTGTCTGGTTAAAATACAGAGTCAGTTTTTAAATAAATGTGTTTGTCTGTAAATATGAATGCATGCTCAAACATGTTGCTTATTTCAGTGGTGTTTAAGTATTTTTTTTCGAAATGGTTTTGAAGAATAGGGCACTTCATTTAAAAAAAACTGGAGTAAAGCTCGCTTTTGCCCCGTGAAAAGTGATCAGACACTTTCATCAATCACAATCACAGCCATCGACTTGAGATTAATTATTGTTCATAAGAAAGAGAACTCGGACGCCATTTTATGAAATTTAGTTCTTCAGGTTTAATGTTTTCTCGCTCAAAATACACGGAAGGCTTCATTCCCCCACAATTAGTACACACACACCACCCCCAGTTACTGTTCAATCACTGAAGAAAATGTGAACATTACAAGTAAGAAGACTTGGTTCAGATGCTCGGAGCACACCCGAACATCAGTCCACAGATGTATAAAGTTGATGACAAATCCTACGAGATATATCGCACAGAAACGCTATTAAAAAGAGCCTAATATTGTTTCCCTGATGATTTTTATTTTTGTCGTCTCGAGCATCTGCAACCTGTTCTTTGCCTGCATCTGCATGGAAGCTGTAATTAGAATAATTTATGCTCTTACATTAAAGTCAAGGTCCACTTTAATGCCAGGATAGACAGGTGTATTTTGACCCCTCCACTTCTGACTGAGAGAAGGAATGACAACATGGAGAGAACAAAAAATGCTGTACTTTTTGCCCGAGTCACAGCGTGTGTGCTTACAGGTCTGAAGTGTTTGTGGGTGCAGAAACACTGCTCGCTGCTAAACATGACTGGCCCCCATGAATGGCTTCCGAGGGGGGTCATCATTATTCCAGCCGTGGCCTGCACCGCAAGAATTGTGTATAATTACAACTGAACCAACAGCTACGTCGTAAAGACACAACTTCAGGGTGCTTTGAAAGAAACTATACATGAGCGTTATTTCACAATTAATTTCAGATACAATAAATCGTAATTTCTCACAGCCATGATAACATATTACATGCGACACGGAATGTTAGGCGGCCAAAAATGCCCTTCGAAAGAAAATAAAAAGAACCACGGTACCAACAGCATAAGTCTAGGCTCTACTGACATCTTGGGAGATCTCTAACTGATCTGAAACAGAGATTGGAAATTTGGCAAGAATTGTAATCACCGGTGGCAGATTTCTGAAACAACAGCCAACAGAGGAATGCAGCGGGCTATATCAGACAGCAAAAAAGGATACTTCGCCACTGGTGTAATAGGCATCAGCAACAAAAAGATCATATACAAGTACATTACCTAGTAATGTTTGATGATCAATCTTAGCATTCTGTAATGTAACTGACCAAAAATAAGTACATACAAATTCTTGATATACTGTCCAATGTCACACAAGCCAAATTATGCTAACTTTGGGGAAAGCAATGGACCATAAAAACAGTGGTCTCGGCTTTGACTAGCCTCATGCCGTATCCATCCAATTCAAGAATATCTGGATGTTCTAACCTTCGGAGGCCACTGCTTCCACGGTCTTTCTCTCTGAGGTTTTAAATTTCAGCGGCCTGTGAGCGTTTTTAGACAAAGTGGTGGGAGACCTAAACACAATTTTGTAATAAAACAGTGTCTGCCAGTAGAAAAAAGGCTTATCTCCTTGGCTGTATACTTCTTGGGAAAAAAGATGGAAGTCAAGTCATTAAAAATTGCCCCTGCCTCAGAGCAAGGCTACTTACAACTTTCAAGCATTGGACAAACTGTCATGCAAGCACAAAGCACCACAGCGCTTCTAAATTTACCAACGGATCTCTACATTTACTCCGCCCACAGTGAACCCTCAACAGGCAATCAATACAAACACGATACACGAATAAATTACATCATACATTGTCTAGATTTCTAAAACAGAACATATAGCTATGAATAAAAGAAAAAAGTTGAAAGAGATAAAAATCCTGAGGAGGGGAAAAAAATGAAAAATATAAAGTTGAGAAGTCCTTTTTATAAGTTTACTTTCATTCAACTTTGAGAAAACAGATCAAAAGTTCCAAGTAACGAAAACTTACAGTCAGCCAGTAGAATTTAGTTTCTTTCAAGCTGGATTCACAAATACTATCTATAATCCAAAATATTTTTTCTCTTTTTTTAATCACGCATGTGAAAGTATTTGAGAGATTTTCCCTGTCAAAACATGAATTTCTTTTGGCGGAGGAGTACACCCTAAGTTTACTTGTATTGCTGTGGGAAATCTCTGCATTACAATGTCAAAGGGCTATCTCATTTTCATCTGAACATTTTCTAGGAATTTTGGAGAAAAGACCTTTACTAGAGAGAGAGAGAGAGAAGCAATTATCAGTCACCTCCCCTAAAGATTCCTTTCTCTGTTCCACACAACATTTGTGACATGATTTTAAAACAGCTGGTGTTTTGTAAAACAGCGTACTGTGAACAAGATCAGACATTTACAAAGGCAAATCAGGGTTAAAGGTCACTTGTGTTTCGATCTTCAAGTCAAGCCACACACGGCCATAATGCCTCTATGTGACTGAGGACCCCGTAACTGGAAACAGGTATGGGTTTCCTGCCCGAATAGG